ACTTCAGGTTGAAGGCAGATTATTCTGTAGTGATTGAATCCCCTAAATCCTAAAATGTTCTCCATCATCTTTACAGATTAACTATCTCCAGCTGTTTAGAAAGGTGCAGCTGCAACAGTCCACAATCCTGAAAGTGACAAGGACAAAACAGCCCACTTGATCGCCACCTCATCCATTGGTCTAAATATCTAACCCCGTAAATGGCACTACAGTGCGTACTAATTGCAAGATGCCCTGCAACCAGTTTACTAATCATAATCTCCATGATCCAAAACAGCAATGGCATCAAATGAATGGGATTATCACCACTTCCAATTTCCCTTCCAAGCCACATACCATTACAGCTTGAAGATATGTTGTTATTTCCTCATCATTGCCTGATCAATATCGTAGAATTCCTAACCTAACAGCACTGTGAAAGTACTTTTATCACATTCAGGAAGGTGATCTCTCATCAGTTTCTCAGGATAACTAAGAATGGACAATAAATTCCAGCTTTGCTAACAATGCCTATATCTCATAAATGAATTTTTTAATAAAGATCCAGGCCACAATTTCCTTCAACAATCTGTGTAGTTATTATTCTTAAAGTGAATCTCAATCTAGACACTATTTAGCACTTCAGATGTTGCCCAAGCATAGATTAGCTAAATTGAATCAAAAATTACCAAACAAAAGCAAAATGCTATGGATGCTGAAGACCAGGAATAAAACTAGGAGAAACTCAGTGAATCTGGCAATAACTTTGGAGCAAGAAACAGAGGGCTGAATCTTATGATATTTTGGATAAGTGTTGATTTTGTTGCGTTTCATAGAAGGCTATGGATCTAGTGCTGGAAAGTAGGACTAATGTAGATTTGGTGCATTTTTTGGTAGTACTGACCATATGGACTGAAGGACCTCTTCTGTAATGTATGATTCTATGATTCTAAGGTTTTTCTCTGTGAGGCCTAGTGAGATTCCTTTCTGTACTGTCTCAAACTTGTCACATGAGTTACTCTGCTGCAATGGCGCCCTCTTAACCAGTACTAGTCCAATTCTCCCACTTGCCATACCTGGAAGAACCCACTTCTCACTGTGTATCCTGGAATAGACTGGCATCCCTGGCACCTGTGCCATTTTTAAAATGCTATTGTGCTCCCAGACAGGCATTATCATTCTAAAGCTGCCTTCTGCAGTTCATCAGCTTTTGCTCAGACATGGCAGTCAAGGAAAATTTGGCATCCCATCTTGTGGGTGGTGACCTGGATGTCTTGGTTGATGAAGTAGTACAGAGGAAACAAAAGGACAGAGGAAAGATGTTTCTTTCCTCATCCCACACTGGAGGCCATGCTATCAGATCTTGCCAGTCTGGTCCAAGGTTGCTATTAGGGTTAGTGTGGTCTCTACATGGAATGCACAATAATGCTGCTAAAGTTTTGAAGACCTGCTTAGCTCAGACAATGTAATCTTCTCTTTGCCACTTCACACTCACTCTATAGCTTCAACTACATCCAAATCCCACAAACCATCATGCTTTACTACCATCTCTGTTGCATGCCACATCTTCCCTCACTCATGCTCTCCACCTCACAATCTTCCATACTCCTCATCATGTGTGCCTTACTCACTCACTCAGTAGACCTCACCACCTTTCCCTTACCCACATCAGCTGTGCCACCCACTTTCATCTTACTCAACCACACACGTTCTCTCATTCAAAAAAGAACAGGTCACAACAGGACAGTAAGCACCCAGATGGGTGGCGAGCTGCCTGACATTAGGCACCTCATCCCACAAAAGACAAGGATCTTGCTCTGTGGGCATACCGAGACATTCATGTTCAGTCAAACTAGTAAGTGCCTTTCTTCATACTGCAACTCCTACATTAACTCCATTGTCATTCATTGTACACCAACTATAAGACTAGGCAATGACACAACACCTTCCGGTCATTAACCATTTTAACCCTCCGTCCCACTCCCTTGATGATATGTCCATCCTGGCCTCCTTGAATGCCACAATCACACCACATGCAAACTGGAGGAGCAACACCCCATATTCCACCTCGGGAGACTACAGCCCAATGGCCTGAACATAGAATTCACCAGTTTTAAAATCTTCCCACCACCTGGTCTCAATTAAAGTCCAACCCTCTCTCTCATCACTGGCTCCTTGACCTGACACAACCTTCTCTCCCACCTAACCACCCCACCCTCCCACTGATCAATCCTCACCACCCCCTACCTGCATGCATCTGTCACTATCCCACGTAGCTTCACCCAGCCCCAACCCTCTTCCATCTATTTATTTCCCAGCTCCCTTCCCCCTCCCCAGTTCTGAAGAAGGGTTCTAACTGGAAACGTCAACTTTCCTGCTCCTCTGATGCTGCCTGACTTGCTGTGTTCCTTCAGCTCCACACTGTGTTGACTCTGACTGCACCATCTGTAGCTCCTGCTTTCTTTGAGCGACATATTCTCTCTTTTGTGTCTTTCAGCTTAGAGTGGGAGGTCCACTATCTCAGCAATCAAATGGGTGACTCCATAGCAAAGGACTTCAGCTCTTTTGAAGAGATTAGTTTAGAGTCCCTCAGTGGAAGCATCAGTAAGGCTGCCTTCTGCACTCCCTACCAGCTTGACATGGATACCTCTGCTGGAACATCAGCTGGATTAGAGGTGCGTGTACCTGGGTGAGAACGTCACTGCCATGACTCTATAGCTGTCTGACAGAGAAACTCCCCATGCCATAGACACCTTAGAGATATGTGGGAGACAACAGCCCTCATAGATCAGTGGTTGCAGGTCTGCAGTTACACCATGGGGACAAAGGTCCCTCAGGCATGTGATCATCTGGCTGCCTCAATGTGCAGGATGTGCCATGGAAAACCACATTCAGCACCCTCAGAGTCTACTGGCTATGCACACTGACCTGCACTCCATTGTTCTAACTATTAGCCCCCAACACAAATGACAAATGATAGGGGGATGTGGGACTTTGACCTCACACCAGTGCCCTACTAACAGAGACAAGACAGTGCCAGTTACCACCAAGATGGAGAAGGAACCATACCCAGGACCCTCAGATGTCTCCTCTCAGATCACTCCAGAAGTAGTAGGGCCCTTCACCTCCAACCTGCCTGTGACCCAAAATACATATGGGAGTTCAAGCTGAGGAGGGCGCACTTCCCTATGGCAAGGACAATTCAACATGTCTGGACTGTCTGGACTGTCTAGACAAAAATGACCCAACGAGCCTCCAACTCCAATTGGCTCCACTGTAGGGCAGGCTTCCCCAACCCCAGCTGCAGATCTTGGGACTGGGTTTAGATATTGTCAGGGGAAAAGAAAAAAGAATATATGTTGATGGTACATTTTGGGGACTGGTGACATCTCACTGCAAATAAAGCCTACATTTGTTGAAATGAGTTCAGAGTGCCCCTGAATCTGTTTGCTCATGTACCTGTGTAGCTGTTCGTGTAACTTGTGAACTATGAGGTCAGATATCAATTCAGTTGCATGATGGTCCAAGGAGTTCAGCTGGATTTGAAATGCTGCAGTACTGAATGTGGGCAGCTTGGACATAATATTGGAAGGGACTACCAGAAACAGGGCACCATTTCTCTAGGTTCATGAACATTGGTATGGCAACAATGGCCTCAGTGGTCAAAGGTGTTAGTATTGCATGAAAAGTTCTGCAAAGCTTGCGCCTGGAAGGACCCAATGAGGCAATGCATAAGGGTCGCCAGGGATTTGGAGGCTGCAGGTGTGAGTCTATTTCAGTGAATCTGTGTCCAGTGTTGTTGAAAGGCCTAATATATCTGGTATTTGCAGCCTCTCCCTCAATGGTCAAGGCACTTACCTTGCCCACTCCAGATATGATTACAATCATTTCCTTTCCCAATGTGCAGCTGTAGTTTCCAGGATGATGGAAGGTGACATCAAGTGGTCATTGAATATCAATTGCAAGGGTCCTCCGTTACATGTTGGTAAGGCCCTTCCCGATAATCCTCCCATCAAACATATCATCTTTACATGTCCACAGACACTCATCCAACCCATCTATATGAGCTGCACCAGCCCAACATCCCCCACAACAATTGGCACTGTAGGGTATGTGCAACTGGTGACTTGGAGCATGCCCAGAGACATTGTTGCTGGGTGTTCAAAATGGTGGCCAGGAGGTGCAAGCAGTGAGCTGAAGTTGCCAAATACCTGCTCTGACTTTCCAATCAGGAATTGTTGATGGCTAGTTTCCTTGTGGTATGTGGTTACTTGAGCCAGAATATTAATTAAGTGAGGTTCATTGTTTATGAGGATGTTAACAAGCCAAAATCCCCCTTAATAGGCATCTCACCACTCCCTAGTGAAAGTGTCATCTTGACCCCTGGAGCTCAGTTTGAAAATGCAACGTATTACTCCTAATGTTGAGAAAGGCCTCACCTGAATTCTCACTCGATTCTCCCACATTCCTCACAATGTTCCACATTGTTCAGACCTTTACAAGTTTTCACCCTTTGCTTACATTTCAGCTGAAGATTCATGTTGGAATTGATACAGTAACTCCACAGATACTGTCAGACTTGCTGTGTTTCTCCAGCACTTTCCGGTTTTATCACGGATTACTGGAGTTAGCGTTATACACGTTGTTGCTGGAGTCCATTTCTTTTACTGCTGTGAACATGAATTTGATTTCAACAGTACTCGTGTCGTATTGTTGTGCTAATTAGTTCTGCACATGGCGCTGGATTCCAACGCTCTCAGTGCGGAGGTGCTAAACCCTGAGAATTATGACGCGCGATGAATGAGCGCCCAGCTGATCAGTTCTGGCGCTGTCCACCCCTATGGTGCTGAACCCAATGCTTATTGCAGCGTTTCTCCGCTCATCCTGTCTCTGTCCGGCGCTGCGGTGCTGAGTCCCTTCGCTGAATCTTGGCGCTGTGCTGTTGAATACGTCCGCTATCCGGCGCTGTGGTGTCTCTGTTCGACCTGGAGCTGGCGTGGACTCGGCGGTGTTTCTTTACCAATCTCCTGTTTCCAGCGAGAATGTAAACGGTGATTCTCTTCGCTACCACGCACTGAGCGATGAGACCGGGACATCCGGCATCTGCACCGCGCTACCATGGACGAAGACCTCTTCCAGCTACGGCATCTACCGTAAGTAGAAGCCTCCCCCAAGCCACGCAAATGGATACACATGAATAAGTCCGTGTCTGGGGACACGGGCACTAGGCCTGTGCATCCCCCAGCCAGCCCGAAACACCAAACCTTCATTTCAGATCCTAGTCACCGGCCACAACATCACCGGGACATACGTAAAATTGACCAAAATTAAACGAATGATTACGTCGCGTAATGAATTTTATCTTTAACTATATTGGAAGGTCTGCAATTTTATTTTTGGGAGAGGGTTTTCAGTTAATACGTTCACAAGAAACAGAAAATGTTAAAATCTGAATGTTTTTTCAAGAAGTCAGGAAATTGAAGACATAAATGGTTTGATGTTTGCCATGTTTGAAATATTATCTATCACAATGAACCTCATTAACTTTGAAAATACGAATATGGACGGCGTCCGTTCAAACAAAAAAAATGTCCAAATTGTTTTAAATCATCAGGTCCAATTTTAGTTTATTTCATACTTTGCGTAAAATTTTTATTTATTGGCACTTACTATGTGAGTTCATTGTGTATTTTAAATATTTTCACAGGAGCAGCCTAATTGCAAAGTGCCAGCAGAATTAATTCCGATATTTACATTGTGATAAGGACAGGGCAACTTCAAAGCTTGTGGTTAGTTCTTAAATTAATAATAGTTGCTGTGGTTCAAATCTTCGGTAAAACAAAAATAGGTAAATCGAAACAAGCCTTGACTCTTTGAACGCCGAAATGAGTTGAAAAGTTAGTTATTTAAATATTGACACAAGCGGTGTATTTTACTAACAAGCATTAGTAAATTGAGACTCTGTAATAGCTTCAATACATAATTCAAAATATTTGTCTTAAAATTCAAGTTAAACGTGTATTTTGCCGTGACAATTTTAAAACCAGTGTCAGACGAACATTCAATGTTTTTCTCTAAAAAGGTAAACGCTAATTGGGTATGTTGCAGTCTGTGAAGACCATGAATATGATATTGACCAGATGCCTTGCTGTATTCTTATTGTATTGGAAGTGGATTATGAAATTGGAGTAGTGCCAAGATTTTGTATTTGACTTTTAAGCTATACATTGATTTTGATAATTTGCATAAGTTAACATTTTTGAAAACCAAACAATTAAAGACGGAGCCTAGCAGTGAGTTACAGATAGGAAATGAAGAATATATTCCATGTTCACATTGTTAATTAAAAGATAGTATTCATTTGGAAATGAAACTAAAAAATATAATGCTATTTTAAAAACTATAATAAAAAACATTCCTGTTTTCAAGTGGTTAATATATATTGTTTTTAAACACCATAATTATTAATGGAAATGTCATTACAGAGGGACGTAACTCTGAACTATGACCTAATGTTGCTTAATATTGATACAAAATATTTTGAATGCAACCCAATTCATTTCTAAGTCAAACCAACACATTGGCACTACACAAGTGAACCTTCAATGAATGCCCAGCACTCTTCTTTTATTCTATCATATGCTCATTCCTGTTATGCGCCTTTAATTGTTAGCACTCTTGCGTGTTAAGTACAGACTAGTATGCTTATTCATCAAGATAAGAAAAGGCTATCAGGCAGTTATATATTTGTTCCTGTTTTTCTTTGATCTCATCTCTAAAACAGAAACCTGCATTGATTTGAGATCTACAACAATTGTAAAAGATCAGAAACACACATAGATTTCTACGGCCGTCAATTATTATGCAGAAATAATTTATATTTACTTTTCCTAATTTCTCAGTAATCAATTTCATAATCAATTTTAGGGTTTTTCCAATTGGGTATACATGCAAAATATTATTTATGCTTATCCACAGTGATCTCACAATGAGGATTATTTTTATCTGTTTTCTCTGAATCGTCACAGACGCACAAAATTCCTATGGTGCTGAAGAATGCTATTCAGCCTATCATGTCTGCAATGGTTCTCTATTGAGCATTATGACTTAGTGCCATTTGCCTGCCTTTCCTCCACATCTTTGTATATTATTTTTATTCAAATAATCATCTAATGCCACTTGAATGCTTCATTGACTCTGCCTCCACCACACTTCTAGGCAATGTATTCCAGCTCTGACCCATTTGTATTTTTTTCTCAGGTCACAATTGGTAGGTTCACAAATCAATTTAAATTTATGTCCACTCATTCTCAACCTTTGATGTGCAGAAAATGCTTCTCCCTTTCTACTCTATCCAACCTCACATTTATCCATCTACACTTCATCTGTCATACGTTTGTGTAGTCACTCAACGTGTCCAAATCACAGTGAGCAACTTTGCATCCTCCTCACAGTTCATCCTCTCACCTTACTTTATGTCATCTGAAAGCTTGGAGATATTATATATTCATATATTTTGATCTCTCATCTCAATTATTAATTGGTATTATCAATAGGAGATGTCCAACCACTGATCCTAGTCACTGCCTGCAACTCAGAAAAAGACATGTTTATTCCTACTCTGTTCACTGTCTGCCAACTAGTTCTCTATCCATGTCAGTACACTACCTCCCCAATCCCAAATACTTTAATTTTACATGCTCATCAAAAGCCTTCCAAAAGTCCAAATAAACTACATTGACTTACTCTCCCTTATCAACTCTACTAATTACATCCTTGAAAAATTCCAGTAGATTTGTCAAGTGTCATGATTTCACTTTTGTAGATCTATGCTGAATTTGTCTGATCCTGACACTGTATTTCAAATTCTCTGCTAGTAATTCTTGAGAATCAAGTCTAGTATTTTCTTAACTGCTAATGTCAACCTAATCAGTCTATAATTTACAGTTTCCTCCTGACCTCTGTTTTTAAATAGCCAGGTTGCATTAGCTACCCTCCAATCCATATGAACTGTTCAGAGTCTGTAATATCTTGAAAGTTGCCCAAGATATCTACTATTTCTAGGGCCACTTCTATGCATGTATACAGCATACCTTCTTCTCCTACACCTCCATCCCCTGTTTAATGTTGTCTATCCTCATACCAAAATACATCACCTCACATTTCTCTGCATCACACTTCATCTGCCACTTACCTGCCCATTCCACAAACTGCTTTATGCCCTTTTGAGTCCTCCTCCCAATTTCCAATGCTTCCTAATTTTATGTCATCCACAAAATTTGAAATTGTCACCTGCACACCATGATATAGAAAATACATATCAGGAAAAGCAAGGTCTCAGTCACAGCACTTGGTTGATTCAACCTTAAGCCATCCTACAGTCAGAAAATAACTTTTGACCACTACTGTTTCCTATCACACAGCCAATTTTGCTACCATTTCTTTTGTTTCAAGAGCTATAACTTTTCTCACCCATCTGTTGTGTAATGCATATTAAATACCTTTCAAAATTCCATATACATCACATCAACTGCATAAAAACCAAAAGAACTGCGAATGCCGTCAATCAGGAACAAAAACAAATTTGCTGGAAAAGCTCAGCAGGTCTGGCAGCATCTGTGAAGGAGAAAACAGAGTTAATGTTTCGGGTCCGGTGAC